TCTTATACAACTAGCCACTTCCTTTATGGGGTAAACCTCTGCTTGTAGAAAATTACAGCCATCATTACTAGTACCTCTAGAAGAGTCGCATCAGTATATAGGCTGAGTACCCTTAGAGTAGCTAGTGCCTTCCGCACGGTGTCTGAGGATGCGGTGTGCGTTATCGCTGAAATGCTCCCTATTGGAATTCTAACCGAAGAAAGGGAAGTCCTTTATCGACGAAGAGGATCGTCAGCACTGAGCCCTGATGCACTCAGAAGAGAAGAGCGGCAGCATAGCATATGCCGATGGCAGGTACAGTAGGAGGCCGCAACAAAGGGTAGGTGGAAGTACCGTCTTCTAACTCAGTTGATCAAGTCAAGATCAACTACTACCTGACACAGATGATTCCAGGACATGGTTGCTTCCGAGCATATCTTCATCGTTTTAAGCTCGATGATTCCCCGGAGTGCCCGTCCTGTCCAGGAGTTCCTGAAGACGCGAAGCACGTGTTCTTTGTGTGTCCACGTTTCAACCTAATGCGTAGTCATCTGGAGATTGTCCTCGAACAGACAATTCAACCAGAGAAACTAACCGATGCGATGCTTTCTTCGGAGGCATCCTGGAACGCGACCAATACTTTCACAACGAAAGTGCTTCAACACCTGCGTTCTATAGAGAGAAAACAAGCCAGCAACAAGACCGGTTAGATGAAGAGAAGATTGACTTTAATTAATGGAAGGAAGAGCAATTGGTAGTTCCTCTACCTGTGAAGTAATGCCTAACGGCGGTTTCCGCGGGGACTGCAGAGGCCGGAGAAAGAGGAGGTTTTTAGTTTAACCTGAGTCCGACATACCAGGCCAATCATCTGGCTCTGAGATTCGCAACTGTATTTTCCTCGCAAATGTACAGTACCTCTGAGAAGATGCCTGTGCCTCCTGAAGTTGCGGAAGCATCTGTGTAGACTGCTATCTCTTGAGTGTTCATTACTCAGAGGATGTATAAGAAATGGCAAAATAATTGAGTAAAAAATTTATAAACATATTAAAAAAAATTAAAATTAGTAAAAATTAAAGTAATTTTTAAAGTAAGGTTATGTTTGTTTAAAGTATTCGATATCTGCATAAATCACCCTATAAACTCCCCAGATAGTAGGGCAGGAACGACGACAACGGGGCGACGTGCACCCATGTAAAGTGACACGCAAGTGGCATGAGAAACTAGCTGTACCCTCGTTCCGGACCCCGGCACACACTCCCACCGTAACCTGATACCTTAATGATAATTGCGATTCCGAGTTTCAAATCGAATTTAGCCGCCGTCCTATATTGTATTTTGTTCGTGAATTAGCCGTGGTGTATTTATTTGATTATCCCGGTTCGTTCGGTAGTACACGGGACTATAGGGTGGCTTGCGGGGTTGGAGGGACGACGACCTACGCTCCAACGCAAAGTTTTGTGTCTAATTCAATTGCGTCGCTCTAATTTGCCGAATTTCTAACTGGCTTAGAAGAATAATTCGTTTTGGTTGCCTTTAATAAGTTATTTGCTTCTGACGTGCGTGGAAAGGAATGGAAACGCTTACGGTTAGTAATGTCTATAGCTATGCGCAAAAAAGACGCATCGTTCGCTGTCTGCGAGAAAACTTATATATAACTTAGAACTAAGGAGTTCATGTACCCACCCCTATAATTTTTTATTTTTTCATATAAAAAACGAGATTTGGTATGTGTATATGACATAAATTAGGATTGATTGACGTATTCAATTCTTTTTAGTCACTTCCTGTTTCACCGGAAATGACTACAACTTTTGATTTTTAAATGGCGTGGATTTTTAATAACCCTTGTTATATTTCTACTTTATTCGATAGAAAATAACACGCTGAATAGAATGACATATCATATGTCAACTTTTGACATTTTCGCATATGGTTTATTTCAAATTGTAGCATGGGTTCATAACGGCAAGTTGACTCGAAATACCAAGTGTGTAGTACAAAATTATTCGTAAAAACATGCTTTTCTCAGATATGCTAATGAGTCACCCTTGTTCCATTTGAAAAATTTGAGATATGATTAAAAATACGATTTGGGCATCTTTTAACCGGCCAGGGCAACACACGAAAAACATTAGACGATCAAATTTATTTTTCCAAGGCTCCTCCATTAAAAAATTAGTATTTTGAACACATCCATGGCACTCTAGATTGAAATTTAAAATACGATTTTTTAAGCGAAAATGTCAAAAGTTGACATATATATCATTCTATTCGAAATTACATTTTCTATCAAATATAGTAGAAATATACCGAAGGTGCCGTTTAAAAATTTAAAATTGTAGTAATTTCCGGTGAAACAGGAAGTTACCATAAACAATTCAATACGTCAATCAACCCTAATTTATATCATATACTAACATACCAAATCTGGTTTTTTTATCTGAAAAAATAAAAAAATTATAGGGGTTGAGCCACTTTCGAGACGCACCCGGTATTTGCTTAGATATTCTAATCGAAGATTTGAACATCCTTTCGCAAGTATTTGGTTTAGTAAGTTGACAGCCATTTTTGGAGAATTTTTTGTTATTCTCATTACTGATTCGTATTGAATTATTGGATTGGGTCAGTATATTGGTTATGTTTTGATTTATGGTACAGCTGATTTTCCAACAAATAAAGACACGTCTCAGAACAGAGATATAGTATAATCTCTCTATATACTGTATGTTATGTACACGGTATATGTCTTTGCTTGTTATGCTCTGACGAGAGTCTCCTAAATCCACCTTAAATGGACCTAAATAGACCTTGATAGATTATCCACTACTATGGATAATCTGACTTCTGCTGCCATATGTTTCCCGTCTGTGTGAGTTTTGTATCTACAAATTTATTTCCACCTGGTTTTTGTTTCAAGCCAGTATGCCTGTACGCCATCATAAGAAGTTATACTCAGATAAGTCCTATGTTTGGAAACACAAGATACAGTTTTAATGTACTATTTTGAGACCAGAGTTTTTAATGTCTTATCTCAAAATTCATCATCAATTTCTTTGAACGTATTACAATTTATACAACATGTTTGCTATATTCAAAATTACAACACAATTTCACACATACAGGCGAAAAAGTACATTAATAGAACATTCGCCAAAAATACGACCTTATAAGCAAAGACAGGAAGAGTTGACTTTGTGTTATTGAAATACTATAATAAATACATATATTATTTACTCCTTTGCTATTAAAATACGGCAGATGTGATAAACAAAGGCAGGAAGATTATCAAGACCTGTATAGGTCTACTAACAGGGCATTGCAAGCTCGATAGACATGTAAAGCTAATGGGATTTATGGAACAATTCATGTGTAAATTTGGTCAGAAGAAAAAACAACAGAACATAATTTATATCAGTGCCACAGTCTGGAAATGTGCGGTTCTTTGTATTAGGACCATTGACAGAGAGCTCTTTGGAGAGTTCAATTTCCAAGTTATCACAATTTTTGAAAAGGACATGACTGGAGAATGTAACCTAGAGATCAAAAGAGGACCAATAGCTCTGAAAAGGTCACAGTGAAACAGGCCAATAGTCATCCCAAAAATATAATCTAATAAAAAAATTTGGACGATATTTTATCAAATCCAATCGTTAAACCAATACGCTGATGTATCAGTTTTTATTGCTATTGCTGTAAAAATGTGTCCTAATATAGAGCAAAGATGATAAATTTACTATAGATTACTAAAACATTTTGAGACTCTATTACAGCAACAGTTTGATCGTCTCCACTCGAGACAAGCAACGCCCTTTCAATAGAAAGGCCCTCAGTCTCGATAGAGGACGACAAGAGCCTCAAAAAAGGGACGTGACGTTTGCGACAGGACACTTTAAACCGGAGACTAATTGGGGCGCGAGCTCCTCTTCTGTTTATTATTTTAGCTAAATATCGTTCTCCCCAGCCAAACCGTAAACAAAACAATAAGAGACTCTTAATTGTATTTCGCTCTCCATCTTTCTTTGCGTTGTTGTCGTCGGCAGTGCGGAATCTCATTAAGTGCGCCGAGTGGATAGAAGTGGAAAGGGGACTGTGAGAATACGATGGATGAATTCTGGAATTTCTCCCAACCGTGATTTAAAAGATTTTTATTAAAATCCTTTTTTGTTCTTATAAAAAAAATAGTTTAACTTTGATTTCGGACACAACCCGGGGTCTATATTAAATTTTTATGATCACGTTTCGAATTGATAAATCTGGATCGTTATTAAGAACTATTACTATTTTACTAAAGGAGGGTTAGAAACAGTAAATGAACGTTAGGAAACGTCTTCAGTGAAACTGATCATTATAATTACACTTTCAGTGGCAGTGGTAGTTGTTTATTAATTTTAACCGTTGACTGAAGAAATAAGAAGATGCGCAACCTGATGGGCGATTTTAGGATGCGTATCTTCCCAATTCTTTCAATCAACGTTTTAAATCAACAATTAGAAACGGAAGTGAAGTGTGAGAACGTATTTTTTTCATTTAGTTTTCCAAGTTGTTTAATAGGTAGATTGATTACTGTCTGTAACCCGAAAAGAAAAAATCTGTTCATGACTGAAAAATTGTATTGCGCAAAAATATCAACCATAAATGCCTACGTGTGTTCAATTTTATTAAAGATGAATGTACTAGAAACATAAACAAGATCAGAGTGATATTTTGTATTGTTTTGTTATTTATATTTAACTATTAATAATTCTATAAATACAAATGCAGAGGATTTCAGAGATATGTCAGTCAAAAGGAATTATAAGTCTAGTATTCTAATTCTTAAATAAATTACTGTATTAAATTTAGATATTTTCCATCTTATCATTAAAACTAAAATTTGTAATACTGTAATTTGTGTAACATTTTTTTATTTTATTTGAATTTGAATAATAAAATAACCCTAGAGATAATCAGAGATATCAAATTAATTATATTTAAATTAATACTTTGTCTTATTGAACGGACTGTAATCAATAAATATAAAATATTTTCTACGATCTATTTTGCTAAAATAAATTACACTAACTAAAACTACAAAAAAAGAAGAAGTAAATTATGAAATTATTGGGCAAAACTACAATAAGATTAGCCATGAAACATAGCTAAAATACGACTTAGTCGTATTTTAGCTATCTTATTGTGGGTTTGCCCAATAATTTCGTTCTTCTTTCATAACTACAAATACATTTGCAAATAAATATAAAGTATGATGAAAACTTTTATTATCAAGCATTCTTTGTGTGATGATCGAAAAACAATTCCTTTGGGAAATTACATTGGAATTATGTCAAGCATTGGAGAAATGTCAAATTCCAAGTCTGCTTGATCATAGGCATTTCAGAATGTAACAATTGAGGATATAGATATAAACTTTAATATATTTAGTAAATATTAAACTAGTTAGTAATTGTAATTTAATTAAACAATCGAACTAAAGTTGATATGTTATTACCACCACCAGCAGAGGAAGAAGAATATCCAACAAAACCAAGGTTTATGTTTTACAGGAGATGTCGTAGTAGTTTCTATAACCGTTGTTGTTTTTATAGTTGCTAAAAAAATTGATTTTCAGAATAATTCAATTTAAAGTATTTGTATACTTACTAGAATTAAAATTAGCAGAGGTTGATGTAATTTTAGATTCCGTAGGTGTTACAGTCTGAGTAATAGACGATCCAGTTGTTGAGCTAGAAGTTTCATCGAAAGCATCTGTTGAAACTTTCGTAGAATCAGTTGATGTAGTTATGTTAGACTCTGTACTTGGAGATATAGTTGACACAGTTGTAAATTGATCAGGCTGTATGCTAGAAACTTCAGATGAAGAAATATCTGTTAAAGTGGATGCTGCTTCTGAAGAACTGTCGCTTTCAATTGAAGAAGAATCAGTAGAAGAAATTGTAGTGAATTCTGTTGTTACTAGAGGTGTACTAAGATCCTCCGTTGATGAAGAATATATTATTGATGAAGATATTGGTACCTCCGTTGAAGAAAAAATGTGCTATCCTCAGTGGTAGATGGCAAAGTAACAGTGAATATTGTGCTAGTTTCGTCAGTTGATGGTGTTTCTGTTGAGTGTGATATATCTGACTCAGTCAAAGATGATATAGAAGCAGAAAATGTTGATTCTTCTGTTATGAATTCTTCGGTTATATGAGAGCTAGGAGAACCCGTAGAGGAGAAGATATTGGTGGACGATGAGATATCTGTCAATAATTCAGAGCTTGTAGAATCTGAGCTAATTTCTTCAGTTACATTATTATCTGGAGAAGAAGATATACTAGATGTTTCAAAACCGGATGTGGAACTTTCTTCTGTATAGGAAAAAGTAGGAAATATTGTACTAAATAATATTGTTGACGAAAACGTTTCTAAATCAGTCTCACGTGGAATATTTGAGACGGTATTAGATTCAGTACTTGAGGGATATTCTGTTGAAGAAGAAAATTCATTATATTTTGTCGTTACACCGATATCTGTAGAAAATGTAGTGAATTCTGTTGTAGTAGTAGTAGCCTCTTCAGTAGATTGATATGTGGGAAAAATCGTACTTAATAGAATTGTAGAAGAAACAGTATCAGATTCTGTCACAAGCGGAATATTAGTTGATGAGAAAGTTGTGTTAAATTCTCCCGTTGAAAGAGAAGCAGTAGAAGTACTTGTCGCAGTGGTAACAGGCGTTGTAGTAGAGCTTAGTGCTGAAGAAGATTCCGACGAAGAAGATGTAATAATTGACGCCGTAGATGAACTTGAAGTGACTGTACTAGAATTAATCGGTGTAGAAGTCACTGGATTAGATTGTGTTTGGGTAGATTGGACTGTGCTAGTAACCGTTGTGTTATCTGATGTTATAACTGTTGATGTTACTGTTACTACTGTGGTTGATTCACTTGCTGTCGAAGAGTTTGTTGTCAAAGACGTTGTAGTGGCTAACAGAGAAGTGGTAGTATTATCTACAGTCGAATTATTCACTGGAATTGCTAAAACAAAAATAGAAAAAAATTGTAGCATCAAAATAAGTAAAAAAAAACTTTGAAATTAATATAACGTCATTAAATAGTGTGTTTTGTCAGATCTTATCATACATTGATAGAATGATGTAAATATACGTTAATTATCCCAGAATATGATATGTTACACTATGATCTAACTAAATAAAATATCCAAATATTTAAATCTTACTAGTTAACACAGTAGTGGTCTCAGGAGTAATGGTCGTAGTACTTGATGCAACACAGCTAAAATATAATTATTGTTTATTTTTATGTAGTTTAGTAATAATCTGTACATACTTATCTGTGCCAGTTGTCTCACTACAGGTTGTACCATCGGGACATGCAACTTCATCTCCATAAAACGCCATAAAAAAGAACCACCAACATGTTTGATATGTTGTTTCGTCAACACAATGTATTCCCTTTGAAGGGCAATCAACCTCAACATTTTCGACTTTGGTTGACATGTATATCAATAATAGTACCTATGTAGCAGAAAAAAATATAACATTATGATGCACTAAAACATAAAAAATAATTATATTACCGAAAATGTATGACACCATTTTGTACTGCACATGACTGCGATATAACTGACGAAATATACGTCTAGTTTTCGATTCTAATCGTACTTTAAATATTTAATGTAGTATTTTGTTATTAAAATCGGATAAAAATAAATAGTTTAGCAGAAACGAGATATAAATATTAATATAAAATAAATTATAAATGTTTGTCTAGGTTTTAAAAGTGACCACTTTTTGTATTTCTTTATAAATCCTTTATTTGCTTTAATGAAAATAATCTCTAAAACTAAAAAGTACCGATTTTATATCTTTTATTCTATGATTTTACATATACTGGGTGTTTCAGTTTTTAATGTAGCATATGCGACAGTTATACAGCAAAATTTATTTTCCAGGTGTGGTTTCAAAACAGGCGAGCCAAATGGAGAAAAGCTGAAAGACTAAAAGAAGAACAACGTAAACGTGAGGGTATAGATTTAAAGAGAGATGACGAAACTAAAGAGGAAAAAGTAAGTACTCAAATTAAAAGTTCTTAGTTTATATATTGGATTGATTTTTTTCATCTCTTTGGAAGACTTAGACTCAACCAACCAAACCAAACCAAACTAAAATACAAAACTTTGAAATGGACTTGACATTAGGGAATTTAAATGTTGCAAAACAGTAGTACTTGGTTTCTAATTCTGTGACAGTTACTCGGTAAACCAGAATTTATTTAACTGTTAGAAAGTTTCCATTATTTTTAATTCTCAATATGGTTTCAGGTTGAAGACGGCCAAACTACAAGTTCTCCAGAAATAACAGCAGACGATGACGTTAATCGTGATAGGGAATGTTCTAGCAGAAGCTCGATGGATCGAGATAGTCCAGAGCAAAGCAGAAGAACAATCGATGCAGATCGATCAACACCTATATCTCCTCATGGAAGCCCCACTCCGTCAGCCACTTCTGAACCCCCGAGGCAAATACAAGCTTCAACATTTTCACATATGTTCCCTTTTGGTGACAGGTAAGCCATTTTTGGGGTTTTTTTTTTTGGGGGGGGGGCTACCCCTTCGAAGGTAGCTAACGGAGGCTGAAATGAAACACTGTAGCTATGAAATATTAGCCATCATAGAAGGCCTAAAGACATTTAAGAGTATATTTATTAGGCATACATAGACATTTTAGTTAATTTCAAAAAATTCATGCGTAAAACTATGCTCGCTACTGTACCTAGTTGAACTCTAGTTGAAGTTAGACCTTTTGAAGGTATCAAAATATTTACTTTTTTATTATATTTTTTAATTTTCACAAATTATATTTCCTAACACTTTTTTAAAATATAAAAAGTTTTTTCGTATACTAGCTATTTAAACTCGTGTATTTGTATATGTTAGAGTAAAAGTCGGAAATCAGTGATTATTAACAATTACTAGTAAACGCTCACATTCACTGATTTGTTAAGACTACGCCAGTAAAAGCTCAACAGCTATTTTTGAAACCAACTTTTACTAGTGAATGCTAGCATTCCCTGGAAGATAGCAGTGAGTTTAAAAGATTCAGTTAGCGCGGTTGCCACATGTTGTAAAATAATGTAATAAGGATCAATAGGGATAAGTTGAATAATAGCCAACATAAGGATATCTAATATTAAATTGGGCTAAACGTTGGCAACGTTGACAGATATATTTCGTAAATTCGCTTTGTTTTTTTTGTGATTTTGTATAATTGTTTTGTTATAGTTGTAAAGAGAACTGTGCGTTATTTTCCTTACAGAAGAAATTTTCCGTAAAAAATTAAGGTAAAATAGACACTCGCGAGAATGTAATTGTGCTTGTTTTTCATTTTTGCAATATAATGAAGTCATAGCAAAAGTTGAGCATGAAAGAGAAAAAGGTGTGACTATGAACTTATTAAACGTTTTGATATGCTTGAACTAGCGGTTTTGTAAAAACGAATAACTCTCGTTGAAGAAAATTCGACCATACTTATTTTGTCCACGATGAAAAACTTTATTAAAAAAAACCTTGTACCAATAAGTAATCTTATATTTATGAATGTTTTTTTAATTGTTTTGTACACCTTTAAATTGTTTACTATGTTTTCCCTTTTAATATATAGAAGGTTATAAATATATGTTAGAAATTACTAAGAAAAGTCGACAAATCTCTTTAAAATACCTGGTCCAGTGCGTAATTGCTAGCATTTCCTAGTGAATGTTAACAATAACTGAATTTCCGACTTTCTCTGTAACATATATATACCGATTGTTTACGATATTCTCCGATGGTGGCAGCACTGACGGAGAATGCACCAAGCCTATTTAAGATTGACACTGATTGTCACGACTAGAAAAAAACCAACACACACATTGTCTTAGTATTGACAGCTGAAAATTTATGGACAAATTCAGGAAATACGTACGAACCAATATGGCGTCGAAGTGCTGACGTAACTGCCCAGGAGCACAAAGCAAACCGTAATTATTATCGAAATGTACATAATAGCACGAACGAAAATTAAATCAAGAGCATAGTTTGTGTAAACAATAAGCAGCGTTAAACGAAAACAAAGGTTAAAAACGCACTTAACGCTAATAAAAGGGAATTTATGAGCGCGATATCTTCAGTTTAACTTTATAGTCCCATTAATAATCCAGTAAAACTTAATTTAAGCATTTACTAACTCCTTTTGTCGTCTGACTATGGCCATTATCCTTTTTTAATATCGTTACGGCTACTGGCTTTGGCTAGAGAACATTTTACACTTTATAACAGTAACATTAATGATCGCTTGTCAATATGTAATAAGTTTAAAATGAAAGTTTCTGAATATACGTAAAGGGTGGTCAAATAATACAGGATGTCGGCTGTAACTTGGGAACCTTTAATTGAACTTAAAGAAAAGAATATTTATATATAAACCGGCTCAAAAAAATAACTATGGTAGTATTAATAACTGCAATTGAGAGGATCACTGTATTATTTAACCAATTAGACACTTATTTGGGAAAGAAGCCACCCCCGTTTCATTTGAAAAAAATTATATATGATTAAAAATACGATTTTGGACGATCAAATCTATTTTTCCAAGGCTCCTTGATTAACAATTAATGTTTTTAACACTGTCATGGCTCTCTAGAGATAGATTGAAATTTAAGATACAATTTTTTTAAAGCGAAAATCAAAAGTTAACATATAATATGTCATTCTATTCAGAGTGTCATTTTCTAAAGAATAAAGTAAAAAAATAACAATGGTGCCATTTAAAAATCAAAAGTTGTAGTCATATCCGGTGAAACAAGAAGTGACCAAAAATAATTGAATACGGCAACCAATCCTGATTTATGTCATATACTAACATACCAAATCTCGTTTTTTATCTGAAAAAATAAAAAAGTTATAGGGGGTGAACCACTTTTGAGACGCACCCGGTATACTCTACCGTAACAACTTTGTCAGTGTGTCAATAGATGACGTTACTTTAAAATTCTGCAAATAATTTTCTCCAAAAAAACCACATGATATTTTATGGCTTCTAAATCATAGTCATATTGTAGAGGAGAAAAAGTGGCAATGGCTTGAAAAGGATATAAAAATTTAAAATTTAAAGAAATCTGTATTTCTCTCTATTAAATACATAGCAAAGCAATAAAATTGAAGTGGACTAAGCTGAAGAAAATGACGGAAAGTCTCTGCCTCGTCAATTGAGGACCTGTCGCATCCAGCCCGACAGACCAATTAAAACGCTCCGTACATGACATCATCCTCGGTCCGATTCGAGATTTTAAATGATGGATCGGTTAATTTTCGTTCGGGCTGCGTGATGTTGTCAATTAACAAGTGTTTAAATTAATTATTTAATAATTACTGTTCATGTTCCAGATAATGTAATGTTATTTTCGGGCCTTAATTGCCTCTAATGAAAACAGTTGTTGGTTAAATATTGCTGATGGAGAGGAGGAGGAGGGCCAATTTAGCGCTTCTTGGCTCCAATTTTAATTGTTACGGATGTGAATTTAATTAGGAGGGGCCTCTGGAATGGTTCTGTAGATGGTAATTAGGAGATCATTGTAATTAATTAAGACGTATTTCTAAGGCGACATAGTTTTAGAAGTTGCAGCGTAATATTTGTGGTGCTTAGTTATCACTGATTAAAATGAAAGACGTACACTCTGGTTTTCTTATTTTCGTTGCTTATTTATTTGTGTCAAAAGCGTTGCGTATAAAAAGTATATATATAGGGTGTTCCGAACTGTATTCAGAAAACTCCGGCGGCATATTCTGCAGATAAAAATAAGTAAAAAAAGTTCGTATAAACGTATGTCCTAAAATGCTTAGTTTCGGAGATACAGGGTGTAGAAGTTTCATTTTTAGTTCGATTTATTCCAAATAATTTCTTAAATAACGTCAATATTTGGATGAAAATTGGTATCTGGGAGTTTTTCGACATGAGAAATATGATTTTGATGTCAATATGACTCCTACTTGTAGAAGACGCCGCCTACATATTTTTAAACTGGTTTGAAGACTAATAACTTTTCGTCCGTGCCTGTATAAAACTACTGAGTAAAAGAATATAAATTTACGACGTTTTTTATATAAGAAAGATCTCTTGGGAAAAATCGCTACGAGTAATGGTTCTGGAGATATTTGGAATCTTAGTTATCAATACCTGTCATCATTGACGTAAATTAAACATGTTGACTAAATAGTTATTAGACTGAAATCATGAATTTGAAATATTTTTGCGTCGAAAGTTAAACAGAAACTGTTTTATCATAATTTTTTTGAAGAAAAATTTATGATTAATTTAAAACAATAAAAAGGTCCCAAACTTGTCATTTCAGTCAAATAACTATTTCCATTCTAAATATCTTGAGAATGGTTGTTCGTAGCGATTTTTACCAAGAGACATTTTTTACCTAAAAAATCACTTAAATGTATATTTTTTCACTCAGTAGTTTTATACAGGTACGGTCGAAAAGTTACTACTCTTCAAAACAGTAAAAACACATGTAAGTGGCGCCCTCTACAAATAGGAGACATATTGACATAAAATTTCTCATATCAAAAAACTCCCAGACACGAATTTTCATCCAAATATTGACCTTATTTCAGAAATTATTTGGAAAAATTCGAAATAAAAATGAAACTTCTACACCCTGTATCTCCGAAACTAAACATTTTGGGACATACATTTATACCAACTTTTTTAGTTATTTTTATCTGCAGAATATGCTGGCGAATTTTCCGGAATAGAGTTCGGACCACCCTGTGTAAGAATACTAATAAAAAAAGACAGAATGTGTAAAGACAAACAGAAGAAAAAGTCAAAGATAAAATTCAAGACAGTTACAAACATATTCTTGTAAAAATATTAAAAATATGAACATTATACAAACATTAAACAATTATCAGACCAGGAATTAGCAACATCGACGGCATTTTCTCTGGCCTGCAACAGGTCGTCAAGTGTACAGGAAACTGGACACTGAAGGCATAATGTGGATGGATCTCTAAGAAAATTCCATTTGGCCATGTTATCTTTTGTTTGGTTAGGCCAGTTCGGCCACTAGGCTCTGCCAATCCCACTTCTTAGCCTCTTGAGGTATTTCCATGTTTTCCACCTGGCGGAAGGAATTCAGAAGTTGGCATCGATCTGCATTTCTCAGTGTCCACAAGTTTTGTCACGCCATAGATGGAGATGCGCCTTCATCGGTAATAGTTTTTAGGAAGCTCTTACTACACAGGGTGTCCCAGAAACAAGTGCAAGTATTTTAACTGGTAGTAGAGTTCAACCCCAGAAACACGCCTATGAGGTTTTTTTCGTGAATTTTTGGAAATTTTATTTGGAATTCTTTTTAGTTTTTATTTAAAAAAAAAATAATTTCTTAATAATATGGCAACATAGGTAGTAGATTATATTTATAGGAAAGAAAATCCAAAAAAGATTCAGTGGTTCTCAAAATTTTAGCAAAAAATAATTTTTTTGGAAATTTTCAAAGTAAATTAACTCCGTTATTTTGGACTTATTTCAAAAACGATAAAGAGAAAATATGTTTCTTTTATCGAGATCTACCACCCCTTAAAATATTTGCACTTCTGGGACACCATGTATATTTGATTCTATTTAAAGGTGGTTAATGTCCATGCAATAGATAAACAGCATTTACTTCCCTCTTGTGTCTCTCTGTATAGTTTTTTATGCTGGTTTTGTTGTACATGTAGAGATCGTTTTGCCTCTCCAATATACGACTCGCCAATTTACAAGGTAGGTACTATTACCCCTCTTATTTTTTGTTAAAACGCTTTTTAGATTGGCTAAATTTTTTAGGTAATGTATATATTTAACGCTAATGGATTATACATTAATTATTTAAGAAGAAAAATAATAACTTTATTATAGATACTTAAATAAATGTAATATATTATTCTAATGATTATTCACAATAGTTTGAACAGTAAAAATCGAATCCAAACAAAACATTCTTATTTCTGAAATAAATACAATTAATAATTCTTTTGAAAATAACATATACTTATGACAATTAACACATGCTTTTGTTGTCATTATAAAACGATAAGTGTAAGTATGCCTAAGTTACAATAGAAAAACAGGTGTGTTATGTGATTAAGGTAGGTCTATGGGGAAGATATTCAACCTAATAGGTTTAAGTATAAAGCGGCGACTCCGAACTAAAGTGCTATAATAACATGGTACACATGAAATATGCGAGGAATTGGTTAATTATTCAAATAAGGTTCGGTCATTTAAATTCTTCAGTGGTTGAGGTTAGTCAGTATTGTTTAACTGGGACTATATATTAGTTTTACAAAAAAGAAAATATTAAAAAATGCTATACTAATATGGAGTAATCCGAGCAGTTGAAATAGTTGGCTGTTTTGATTTTGCTTTTTTGGTTGGCAATACATTTGAAAAAATCGAATTGTTATAGATAATTAGCCTCAAAACAAACCAAAAAAAAATAATATGATTAGGTAATTTTTAATGATATACATTTAAATTCGTTTTCCATAATATTGTGGGACAAATCAAAACGAGATAAGAAATAAATATTAATATAATCTAAAGATTTTCGAATTTACCTACCAAATAAGTGTATTAAAAAATAGGTTAAAGAATCAAAAACTAGTAAAATTCTATAATAAAAATTTCTTTATATTTTTATAAATTTAAAAGGCAAACTGTACGTTTATATGGTCTTACCATATTGTTTCATCTTCGTTTGTTTTTTCCTGGTTAACAATATTTTTAAATTATTAAACTAAACATTTCTGATGTTTAATAAATAATATAATTAAACGTTGCTAAAAATTGCGATTCTGTATGGATTAAAGGTTATTTTGCCGATTACGTTCATCTTCTAACGTTGGTAAAACTGGTCACGTATGGAGGATGCAAAAAAAAACCACCTACTAAAATCACTTCTTTAAAGTAAGCTTGTAGACGCTAAGAGAAGACCGGGTGGACAACTCAAAAGGTACAAGAATATTTTTCATGA